TGATAAAATGTTAACCCTGTACATATATATATACACACACACATGACTGATAAAATGTTAACCCTGTACATATATATATATATATACACACACATGGCTGATAAAAGGTTAACCCTGTACATATATATATATACATACACATGGCTGATAAAAAGTTAACCCTGTACATATATATACACACACACATGGCTGATAAAAGGTTAACCCTCCGTTCACCTAATACATAATTTCATACTCATAATGGAACAATAGTTTAACCCTAGTTTCTGAGAATAATGTATTGAACAATATAACAATTAATGTGTAGGTTAAATCTGTTTCATGAGCTGTGTTTATACAAAATATAATTGCTTTTTCAAACATCCATATACCATATAGGAATATCCTAAAAAATCCTAAATTAAAGAACCAACTTTACAACAAAACTTCTAAGGTTGTTCTCGTCTTCCGTTTCCAGGAGATTTATGATAAATGACCAACTGTATAAAAACACTCAGATCGATCACTTGTAACAAAACTTACAGACGCTGAGTTTAAAATATAACGTTTTTTGTTTTGTTTTTTTCGACAACTAAAGAAATAAATGGTCATCTGGTATTTCCGTTACGAGTATAAAATAATTGTTTGTTTGTAATTAAGCACAAAGCTACACTAGGGCTATCTATGCTCTGCCCACCACGGGTATCGAAACCCGGTTTCTAGCGTTGTAAGTCCGCAGACATGCCGCTGTGCCACTGAGGGCTAAAATAATTGCAATAAATATAATGTCCACCATCAATGATACAATGGTATATAATCCTGTAAAAAGCAAGAAACGAATTTCTTCGTAAAATATACTGATTGTTGAGTTCTGAACTTAAAATATTTTATGTTGAACTAAACTTTGGTGAGAAACGAATCAACAAAATATTTAATTGTTATATTTACATTCTTGGTAAAATCATGTATGAATATTACAACACCAAATAAAGCGTTAGGTTGAACAATACTTGTAACAATACATATAACACTAAAACTACGTGAAACACATAAAACAACGAATATATAAGATTAAATATATATATATATATATATCTTTCGATATTGTGAACAAAAACAAGAAAATTACATTATTTTTCTTTTATAAAAAAATGGTTCCGTAAGAAGCAGCCCCCCAGTGGCAGAGCGGAATGTCTGCGGACTTACAACGCTAGAAACCGGGTTTCGATACCCGTGGTGGGCAGAGCACAGAAAGTCCATTGTGTAGATTTCTGCTTAAATTCGAACAACGACGTTTTGTTGTTTTACATTAGTAATTTGTTTGAAATAAAAGCCTACAACAGATACCCGTGGTGGGCAGAGCACAGAAAGCCCATTGTGCTGCTTTGTGAATTCGGTTGAGAATTATTTCTGTCTGTCTTCAACTATTGAAATAGCAGTTTTATAATCAATAATTTGTTCGAAAACAAGACAGCTAAACTTCTTTCATAACTTCATCGTGTGTGCAGAAAGTAATTTTTCAAATTTAAATTCCGACAATAAACCTAATCAACATGTGCATTCATTCTAAAACAGATTACAAAATTACTTTAAAAAATATAGGTAATCAAATTGAGAGGTGTCTGATGTTTTCTGATTCTCGTCTCTATAGAAAATATTTCTTTTTTACCGCCTGTTTTGCTGATTTGTTTTTAAAGCAACAATTCTACATTGTGTTAAGGTGAAATCTGAAAACATACTTATGGTCATTATGAATCTTATTAATGTTATCACGTGACCATGAATAATTGGTGAGGGGTAACAATATGAAGCAAAGATTTTTATAAACTCTGAATATTTTTTTATTCCTTGGTATGGCTTGATGGTTTGGACTGTTCGCGAGATTGAAACCCTTTGCTGAATATGCTCGACCTTTCTGTCGTAGGGTCATTATAATGTAACGGTTAATCCCACTGTTGTTGGTGAATAGTAGTCGGTTGGTTGTTTGTTTGGCAGTTTATGCCGCAAAGAAACTAGGCTATCTGCGCCCAAAGAGTAGTCAAAGAGTTGGCGACAGGTGGTGTTGGCTAGCTACCTTCGCTCTAGTCTATCAGAAGCTGGAGAGTTGGCGGTGGGTGGTGCTATCTAGCTGCCTTTTCCTCTAGTCTATCACTTCAAATTTAGAGACAGCTAGAGCAGCTTGAGTAGCTTTGGGCAAAATTCGACATTTCTCTTGAGATTCATTGTTGTCGATATTGAACATTGGGTCATTGTTGAACATTTAGTGTATTATTAGTTTATAAGTTAAAGCGAACAATGAAGACAGAGAGTTGATTAACCTAAAACCCAATATATATATAACGCAATAAGGGTAGTTAATATTAATTTCCGATCAGGGCAAGCTACAAACTTAAAGCGAAACTTAATAAAAACAGCCTGGGAACGAGAATAGCTAATTCAATACACTTTTCTTACGTTTTTTACTTATAAAGATTAAAATACGTTGTTTCGTCAGTTCGTTATTACATAAACATTTCAATATGAATAAAGTTGATTGAAAAATAATATTTTTCTGGGTACAGGTTATATCACATAGACATAAATGTCTTCGATAAAACGTTCGGGGCCCACTTTTACAAACCGTGTACACCAAAATACTTGGCTCTATAGTTGATTAAATGAAATTTAAAACGCGTGTGTTGTTGTTAACTTGGGAGGGGAGAATCTTAGCAGAATGAAATTACTTTTAGGGTTAGAAACATTAGAAAGAAGTATACAATTTACGTATTTGGACGTCACTGCTCGCTTGTATCACGGTAGGACTTATAATGTTATTGTAATTTGCATCTTCCCGCAAAATCAAAAGGTAATTTTTATAATTAATATAATTAGTATGATTAATTTAATATAATTAGTATGATTAATTTAATATAATTAGTATGATTAATTTAATATAATTAATATGATTAATTTAATATAATTAGTATGATTAATATAATTACGAGGCTTAGTATAATGTATTTAATTCAACAAGAAAAATGTTTTTTAATGTAAACTCACTCTCATACGTTAATGAAAATACAATGCCAAGACCCCTGGAGCTGTGTTTCGGGGTTTGTTACACTCTATGGTTTATTTTCACAGTGAACCCTTCTAATCCAATAGTAACGTACCATGATGTTATTGTTACTATGACAACCTTTTTCACACGTGTTTTAAGGATATCGTAAAGGTTTTGACATCTAGATATGTCACACAACAATGTTTCTCTAAACGCTATCAAATCAACGAATTTCATTGTTACTCGTTTACATATACTAAAAAAAATCTAACATTAATATTTCTTTATACGTCCTTTATCTAAATAAAACTTTAAACATAGTTTTTTGTAACTATATGCACATAAAATTAAATATTTGAGGAATTACGAGGTAAACTACTTCTGTTAATCAAAACATAAAACTCTTATTGGTTCATCGTCTAATTATTTCTAGAGCCCATATTTAAATTATACAGTTGCCATTCAGTTTTAAGTATTGTTTCAGTTTGCTACATATTTTCGTATGAGATTCGATAACTCTGTTCTTCAAATTCCTGGTCTTTCACTATTTAAATTATATTCTTACCATTTTTCCACGGAGTATTGCTCGTTCCAGCCCAAATTAAGCCTCTTTTATTTAACACAACGCTAATAACAACGAGAGCAATGAATTTTTTCCACATGGTGGGCCTGTAAAAAAAAATAAAAATAAAAATAAACAAGACATAAGCACACTACGCAATAATATCAAGTAAATATTATATTTCATTAACAACAATAGCACGAAATAAATCAGGCATCAAAAAGTATTTCACGACTCCAACAGTCCACAAATACTAAATTATTTACACAATTGCACATTTTTTACTTGCTTCCCATTACACAATTACACATTTTTTACTTGCTTCCCTTTACACATTTTTTACTTGCTTCCCATTACACAATTACACATTTTTTACTTGCTTCCCATTACACAATTACACATTTTTTACTTGCTTCCCATTACACAATTAGACATTTTTTACTTGCTTCCCATTACACAATTACACATTTTTTACTTGCTTCCCATTACACAATTACACATTTTTTACTTGCTTCCCATTACACAATTACACATTTTTACTTGCTTCCCATTACACATTTTTTACTTGCTTCCCATTACACATTTTTTACTTGCTTCCCATTACACAATTACACATTTTTACTTGCTTCCCATTACACAATTACACATTTTTTACTTGCTTCCCATTACACAATTATACATTTTTTACTTGCTTCCCATTACACAATTACACATTTTTTTACTTGCTTCCCATTACACAATTATACAATTTTTACTTGCTTCCCATTACACAATTACACATTTTTTACTTGCTTCCCATTACACAATTACACATTTTTACTTGCTTCCCATAGCGCTGGAACGCGAGTTTTTTTCGATTCTGTTTTTTACTCATAAATAATAATGTGAATTTTCATGAATAAAATAATATTATTATAAAGAATAGTTATTTGTTTCATTTTATCTTAAATCACTGAAATGAGTTATATCCGCTATATCCTCTCCTGGAATCGAATGCCAAATTATAGCGTTATAAGTATTTCACGTTTAAAGTCAAGGAGTGTAACTTACCGAGTCTCTTTACATTTATACTAAAGGTTTAATTGTATTTGCACAATAAGAATAATTTATTTAAACGCTATATAAAAACAAAATGTTAAGAAATGTACTGGAAGCTTTAAGCCTATAATCACGTATATATATATTTACCAGTTCATGTCGAGCTAATAAATTTCAATAATAAACTTCAAGAGCTTTGTTATCGTCCAGCTCTAGTTTCTATTCAGCTATGTTATTTGAATTTCTAGGCTAGCTTTTCAGTTGTGCAAAAATATAACTAAAAGAAAACTACATAAGGAATATAAGTCTAAGTAAACAGAAACACGTTAGAAGAGATACTTTTTAGAGAACAGACATCTGTATTATAAAGCAACCACACTTATGTTATAGCGAACATTTGTTATTCTTGCTAAACTTGTACTCGTTCTTAGGTTTTTTGTTTGAAGTTAAGGGCGTGTAGAACCGTTAGCTTGAAAACATAGTGTTTTGTCTGTTTTGTTGGTACGTGTTGTTTTTCTTATTCTGCAAAAGTTTCGAAATCATTGTTTGAGATAAACATGATTTATTTCGAAATCATTGTTTGAGATAAACATGATTTATTTCGAAATCATTATTTGAGATAAACATGATATATTCGAAAACAACCTTAGGGAAAAACTATCTCTGCCAAGTAAGTGGTTGGCGTTTGGGGCTGTGAATCCGCTTGGTTTGCGACCCATTACGTCTTAAAGATCGTGCGTGCTTTTTTTAAGATGGACGGTTAAATCTCACTACTCGGTCAGAGTGGTCCTCGAGTTGGCGGTGATTGGTGTCGACAAGTTACCTTCCGTATAGTTTATCGGTTCCAAATTAAGGAGGACGACAGACCTCGAGTAGATTCGCGCGCAATTCAAGAAACAAAATCGGGAAAATGATAAAGAAAACTGATAAAAAATAAAGGTTGTTTGTTTGATGTTCAGCGCAAAACCTACAAAAAAAAAGCGTTATGATACCACGGAATTAAGGCTGAGCCACCTGGAGGAAATAAATTAATATATCACACAAACGAAATATCATGCATAAATACAATTGTTGTTGTTTTCGTCCTTTTAATTCAGTACAGAAACATTAATCTATATTTTCCGTTAGTGTGTATAGAGACTGTGTGTGTATAGCGTGTTACAAGGATAGAGACTGTGTGTGCATGGTGTGTTACAAGGATAGAGACTGTAGATATCCATCGAGTATCTTTGCAAGACAATTCAACAAAAAACAATATATGTTGGCTTCATATCAAACTAACGAAATAAAATTCTTTTCCGCTTGATATAAGTTATACTTATTGCATTCCTCAGGACAAACAATAAAAAAAGATCGTTTTATGTTACCAATAATAATTTCCTTTTATCTGTCAAACTACACGGATTGAAATGCAGAAAAAAAGTATTACAATCAATTTCTCAGAAATTAACTAAAAACAACGTTCGATGTAACCTTATATCACGTAAAAATAAACGAAAAACAGCGTTCTCTGTGACCTTATACCATCTTGTCATTTTGCAAATGCGTTTAACCAGTTTCAGCGAAGCAAACTTTTGTGATAGATAACGAAAAAAAAAAAATGGAGAAAATAACTCCAGATCACAGCGACCTCAACTGGCCAGAAATATTCGCTTATTCTTAGCTTTCTACTCTTTTAAGAAGGTGCGTTCTTACATTAATATTTTGATTTAATTAAAGTGTATACTGATTGTTGTTTAAGACCCATAACGTAGATTTTTACATTGTTGCTCGAGGAAGGCTTCGGTAAGAAGGCCCCCCATTGGCACAGCGGCATGTCTGCGGACTTACAACGCTAGAAACTGGGTTTCGATACTCGTGATGGGCAGAGCACAGATATCCCATTGTGTATCTTCAAATATTCCAATTTTTATTGCTGAATAGTATTTGCTACTTGATTTTCGAATGAACAATTCAGAAAAAGTATACATAGCTAACATTTTTATGTATGAAAGATGTAAATTTTTGTTGTTAAGCGCAAAGCTTTAACGTGGGCCATATTTGTTGTGTCCGTCACGGATTTTCAAATCCAGTTTGTAACGTTATAAACCTTCAGAGTTATCGCTGAGACACCGGAGGCTATATACAAAACAATCATAGCATCAATTTTAATGAGCAGATCTTCCCCCTAAATAAGCCTCCTAAATTAACTCGTTATATTTCGTTTGCAACGATGTAATTTTCAAAAAAAATAACTAAGTGACGGAAAATGAAGTTTAAACAGTACTTTGATAAGCTAAACTACTCACAACTAGTTATACAATTTTAAAATAACGAATGTAAGGCTGTGAACTTATCGCTACTATCCCTCTGGAAGACAAAAATGTGAATAAAAAATGCACAATTTATATAAATATAATAGTACTGTGGATGAATCTTCATCAAAATTGGCATGGAGGTTTATTAGATCCATGGGGAGATATATACAAATTTTAGGTTTGCATTTTGCGGTTTTTATGAGCGTTTTAGCGCGTGTTTTTACCACTACTTCGCCCCTGTTGATGGATCTTCACCAAACTTGGCATGAAGGTTTGTTGGATCCATGGGGAGATAGATGCAAAATTACGGTTTCACATTTTGTGTTTTGAGGTTTTTATGGGCGCTTTTGCGTTTTTTATTTTATTTTTTATTTTTACAATTACGTATAAGAGAAGCAGCTTTTCATGTCCTGAGATAACCTTTCATTAATCATGAATTTACATAACAGCTAGTATAACAATAATAAAGAATAAAATAATGTAATGGTTAAATATACCTAATGCTATTGTTTCACGACAAGTATAATTGTTTATAATCACGATTCGCCAACGAAGAGCGAACAATTGTTATTCCAACAAATGGCTTATTACAAAGAGCGTTATCACCACTACCGTGTTAGCTGCATCGTGCTCGCCTGATGAATTCAGATAAATGAACGAAATGTGTGTGGTTGGAATGGATAAAAGTTGTGGTTGAAATACTGTCATATACTCTTCTTCCCTGACAAACCATAAAAGACCAACTGAACAATGTAGTGTTTAAGAAAAAAAATAAAATCCAGCCTGCTATTCTGATAATACTTTCTTTTTCTATCCC